CGATTACGTCTATATGTAACACTAGGGATGTAAGTTTCAGAATTTTGAATCGAAGCGATTCGAATCAACATCGATTCGAAGCAATTTGAGAAAAAACGGCTTAATTCTATTTAAAAAAATATTAATTTATATAACACGAGGCGGCTACACGACGCAACAGCGTTGTCTCATCATCGAACAAAAACCCATATGGGTCACTGCCTCAGAAGGAGCAATGGTTTCGTTAAATTGTTTTTAGACTATTCAAAATGTTAAGAAGTTCTACAAATATGTTTTTATATGAATATGTCTTTAAATTACTTAAGTTATATAATGTCATTATATCAACAACAATATTACGCAATACAACATAGGTCTGCGATGCTTTCCTCGTTATCATTTGCTATCTTTACAATCACGACGCAAGCGGTACTAACGCCTATTTCACTGACGTTTATCATTTAGGATGAATTTTAGAAGAACCATCACTATACATCCGGTATTGTTTGCGAACATAAATTACTGTAATAAGTAAATATAACTGAGTGTAACTCTATATAGAAATAATACATATTCTCTAATATATTATGTAGTTGAAGCATCAATTTAATGTTTTCTTCGAACTTTACTCATACCTCAAGTTCATTATTGTTATTTAATCACTCTTTATGCTATAGTTCTTTCAAATCTAAGGAGAGTTAACGATAATATGATATTATATATACTAAATAAAATCAGATTCGAATCGGAACATTCCGATTCGGAATTCGATTCGAAAATAAAATATTCGAAACTTACATCCCTATGTAAGTGATGTAACACCATTCTTCGATTTGACAATGTAAGATCCTGTAGCAATTCGTTTCACAATAGTTTCTCTATTCCATCCCTTCCGTTCTGGTTGTTTGGTTTCGTAATTGTAGGTATAATCGATCTGGTTGATCGACCAAACATCAGCTTTGAAGGACTACTGGAAAAGTCTTGACGCGGCGTATTTCTTATTTCTAGAAGAGCTAGAAATTGATTGAGCGAATTTCAGATACCGCCGCCACCATGTTAATAATGTCTTGGTTATATGTTAAGTCCTATATCCAAGCTATTATGGAATAAGTCTTACTTAAGTTATGGAATACGTCTACGTCTATTTACTCGGAGCAAGGGGCATCAAGAAAAGTGAAAAGCTTGTTGCAGTTTATAGGAAGTTTTACACCTAGGAAAGGAAACAGTCTGCAGTCAAACAGACCGGAATAGCAAAATACTCTTCCCTAGAAATAATGGAGCATGTATTGAAAATATAATTAGTGATGGTATGGGTATCTCTGAAATGACTGGCGGTGACATTGGTGAATTGACCAGGGAGGTGGAGGCTTGAGATGAAATATAAAAATATTTGAATGACAGAATTCTTGTCATATCTATGACCCACGAAGAAATGATGCAATGGTGGCAACAAAGCAACAACAAAAAACGTATCCAAACATCGCAGTTGCCGCCTAAAAGTACCTCTGTGTCCCAGCAACATCCGCTGCATCGGAAAAGGCATTTAGCTCAGAGTAGCTTTCCATATCCAAATTCCGATCGAGCTTACAGGAATTCATGTGAACGAATTGAACTTTTTACTATGACAGTAATTGTTTGACACAAAGTGGACATTATCGTTTTGTTATTTAGGTATTATATCTTTGTTAGAATTCATTTTTTGTTTTTGTTATGAAAAATATCTTTTATCATTACCTACTGTACCAATTGCTGGAAAACTTTCAGTGTACATTTTTGTTTTCCAATTTGCCGCTAGAAGGCTATTAAGTTTATTTAGTTCAAGATTTTTTGGGGGCTCTAAGGGATTCGTTTTTTTTTGTGTGCGATTTTGTCTACTGTGACGGATTGAAAACCCATACTACTTGGTTTAGGCTTTCGTGTTTGATTCGCTAGTATTGTTTAGGTAGGTATGTTTTCTTGGTAAGCTACATCGAGGAATCGAGAATTGGAATCGAAAATTTAGGAATTGGATAAGAATCGAATACTTGTAAGTACTCATACTTAGCATCCTTAATAATGACTAAAAAGTCCTAATCCGCTAGCCTAAAAATTGTTTCCAATAATAAGCAAAACGGATTAAATACACTCATTGCAATGTGTGATTCTATCTATTCTATCAATGATATGTTTCTATCGCCATTTCTTTTCAGAAATATGTAATTTCTTCCTGTTTGCCATTTTTTCATGCAATGTAATAACACTGCATATTGTGTGTTGATAGTCAGGCAAAGTTCGAGGCTAGATGTAATACGTAAATTTCTGTACTTCAATGTTGTGGACCAAATAAAGAAGTGTTCGCGGAGGGAGTTTCCCATTTTTAGAATTTGGAGGAAAGGCTTCCACAACGAAATAAATCTGACATACAAAGATGAGCTCTTGCATAATTCTATAATGACAATTAAATATTTTTGCAGCTTGAAAGCTGAAAAAAGATCGCTACGGCGTGGAATATACCCTTAGTTTACGTACTAGTGCGATAGGGTTTTCCGTGTGTTTCCAGGGAGATCTTGAGGACTTTATGAGATAATATATTCGATTCTCATTGCGCTTGTGTGGATGCCTCACCAGAGTTGGGGAAGCACGTGGTGATTATTTGTTGAGATAGTGAAACTAAATTGGACATCAAGGATGTTCGAGGAAATAATTACGACTTACAGCCAGGGTCAGCAATCTGTGGTTCGGATCCGGCCCGCGGAGTAATATAATTCTGCCCGCGACGCTTCACTGAATTATAGTAATAAAACGGCCGTTTTGACGATCATATTCTTTACGTGACAGAATTTATTGTGAGACACTTGTAGACTAAATTATATCATAGCCTAACTATTTAGTGAGCCACTCGTTTAATGAGCCTATAATTTAATTATGATTAGACAAATGGCAACAAAATGCAGAAAAGTTGATGATGAGTGCAAAGGGTTCAATGGCGCCCAAAATATTCAAATGGAATTTTTTGAGATACAATGCAATGAGGAAATAAATCTATTTTCTTTTTGAGAGATGTATCACTGCTTGATTTTCAATAAAAAAAGTATCATTCGTTCGGTTTTCAACTTTCTAAAAATATGTGTGGCCCGTTAATGACTTGCGGTTGCTACCCTTAATGTTGGCCCGCGAGCGACAAAAAGTTGCCGACCCCGACCCCTGGCGACATAATCGAGCGAAAACGGTCAAGCGAATCTGGGTCATTGCGTTTGCATATCAAGAACCATATTTTGTACCTACTTCAATGAGAATATTTTTTTATCGGACATCTGTTCGTATAATACTATAAACAACTGCGAAAGAAGGCGCATGATTTTTTATGAAGGCGCTAGATTAGAAGGCGCTACAATTTATAGAAACCGGGGACAGTGATCCGAATGGTGAGATTGCGATCATCAATGCATCAAAAACAGGGAAGTCT